AACATATGTTTGCCAACATGAATTCTCAATTGTAAAATGGGAATATTTGCGGGATATCTGCTCTGTTGTAATGTCTGTCGGCGTGTCTGGGTGGAGGGGGGGCTTTATTGACAGTATGTCCCTTTTCTGCTTGAAGTCTGTCCTTTACTAATCCTCTCTTCCCCCCCCTTACCGCATTTTAGATTCGCAAGAAGCCCGAGTACACACCTTTCCCGCCGCCTCAGCAACCCTCCAAAGTGGATATGGAACTGGAAAAGGGTACCTACTTTCTGGCCGAGTCCGAACGAAAGAAGGCCAAACGCGCCTCAGAGGTGGAGAACTCGGAGGTGAAATCGAAGAAGCGGCAGTTGGAAAAACGCGCCCTTGCCTACATCCCACCAGAGTGAGGCAGCCAGCCAGCGAGCCTCTGCTTCTTTTCCTGTACAAATTGCTACATACACTTCCACACACATCGAGGACTTGTTCTTGTCTAGTTGCAGTCAGGCATCGATTTCATGAACGGTTGACCAAATTCTGAAAGGCGTGTTTTCGATCAGGAGGGGTGGTTTAAGTGGGGCTGCTTTACAGCATAGTCCGAAAGATATTTCGGAAACGCTAGGACTCCGGCTTTCGAATGTGCATATTCTCAACCACCAGCAAAAACCAAACTCAGTAAAAATGACTGCTTAGATGGTTTGCATTTTTCCAGTAGACTTTCGGTGCCTTTACAAGTTAAAATCTAATTTATAGAAAACGCTGAAAAAATCTCCTCCCTTGTACTAATTTGCTAACAATAAAATGTTATACCCAAAGGGAGGGGGGTGTATTTAGGTTTTAAGGAAGCTTTCCAATTCCCGAATGATTTAGAACTCGATCTGTCGTTGCATTTGCCTTCAGGCTTTTCAGTCTGCGCGCTGTATGTTTTCAGTGTAGGGGTATCATATATTACTCTCTGGTATTATGAAGATACTCTGCAGTTCACTTGAGACTAGTGTCGTTCGAACGTCCTTTGAGAGGGGGACGCTAGAAGTCGTTTTTTTCTGTTAGCGGTGGCTTATAGGCCATCTAAATGTTTCTGCCACTCGTACCATGTTCAGCACACTTGCAGTACTCGACGTTAAAAAGCCACTAGTGTTTGTCTGCCCAGCTGAATTCGCTCATGCTGTGTGCTACTCAAGTGAACTGGATAGATTTGGGACGTACAATGACCGTAGTGTCATTGTTTCATTTCGGTCGCCTTTATCTCAAGAAGTGGACAATTAAGGATATGAATGTAATCACCAAATATCCATTGGGCACAAGGGCCACAAAGAAACCGGAACAGCATAAGGTTGATGCAGTAGACTGGTGCAAAGAGAGTCCCTGAAGTGCGGATGCTGAGCGCATTGCGGGGTATGTCTTAAGATTGATGCTCTAAACTTCGTCTTTGACGGTTCCACTTCATCACAGATTACAAGTCGCTATGTGAAGGCTCTAGATTGGGCTCCAAGGCTCAACGAGACGAGCTCTTTCGCTTACCAGGCCAGTGAGTGCCTACGTCCCCAAGTATTCACTGTTTACCGGATGGGGTTTTTGCAGACGCCTGAAAATACGTACATTAAACAGTCGGCATCCTGATAAGTTTTTTTTGCGATTATGCGACAAGATACTCGATACTGCATCATCCACTGAAAATTTCATGGTATCGGTCACTAATTTTATCTTCTGCTACTGCGGACCTGGTCAAGAATTTTCTAAAAATAGCCCTTTGAGGGGAGAGGGGAGGAGGGTCAGTGCGCTTGACTATGGAAGTCGCTTTTTCGGTTAAGCTACTCAAGTCTTCTTGCCATCTGCACCATGTTCATGACACTTGCACTACTCGATGTTAAAGAACCGCTAGATTTGGGGCGATAGTGGATTGGAAAATTGTGCCTCAGTACACAATAGCTGTAGCGTCATTGTTTACTCTCGGTCGTCTGTATATCAAGAAGATGACCACCGAGGAGGTGAATGTAATCTCCAAATTTCCACAGGACACCTGACCCACCAAGGTAGCGGAGAAGCATAAAGTTGACGCAGTTGACAGATGAAATTAGGATCTTTAAAGCAAAATTTCCCTGGTACGAATTGGTATGTAGCAAATAAGATCCCCTAAATGCGGTTGCTGAAGGCATTGCGGGGTAGGCCCGAAGATTGATGCTCTGAACTTATTATGAGAAACGTGCTCGTCAGCTCAAACCTCGACTTGCGTACATATATGAGTTGGATAGTGGCAACTGGACTAGTGGACTTGTCATAATGATAATACCTGCAATTCCGGTGGTAGTTCATCTCCAGCGACAAGCTTGTACGGGCAGTATGCTGAAAAAGTCACTTTACGACAGTCTGTAGAACAGCATTGCCGACAAACATCAGGGAGCCTACAATGACCACTTTTGACCTATTAGCCATCATCAGCCAGCCAGCCACACTCGACCTCAAGTCTTTGCAACTTCCGGGGCCTGTTAGAAGTCCAATGTCCAAACCATTGAGCCATGGGCTCATTGTTATTCTGCACATGATACTAACCATTGAGCGGCTGCTGGCGGAGTTCGAGGTTGAGTCCGAAGGCACAACCGGAATGTGATCGTTGAGCGCCCGCTCGACGGTATGGGAGCCTATCGTTACTTTATAACTCGCGAGGACCTTTTCCAGGGTCGGAGGTTAGGGATACTGTCACTGTTAGGAGTCCAGTCTAACCAAATGCCAGCAGAGGCTTGCAGGCTGTCGTGACGCGTCGTGCCTGCGACCGACTGCAACAATGGCTCCTTTGAGAAGAAGACGACTCAATCGCTCGGACAATACTTTTATTCGCCTGACGTTTCGACATCCGTCGCGGATTCATCATCCGAGACATTAGCAGAGAACGGTAGCAGAAGGCATAACGGGGTATGCCCGAATATTGATGCTCTGAACTTGTTCTGAGAAACTTGCTCGTCGGTTAAAACCTCGACTTGCGTACCTCGTCTTCTTCTCAATTACTTCCTGGGACTCGCATGTTCACTTGTATTGGCAATGACTCCTTTGTGAATGCGGACTACCGCAAGGTCATATGCCTTCCCTGTGACTGTGCCCACGCGATGAACGTGAACTTATGGGCCGGACACACAGTTCCTCAAGGGCCACTTAGGTGCATCACACTACAGGTCACCTAATTCCAACGTGTCCAACTATGCCACCAGCGAATGCGTTTAACAATCACTTACAAGCCACTGTCACACCTCAGACAGTGAGTTGCACACAGACTGCAAGGACACCGCCAGTCCGTCCCGAGGCAGGACATTCAGCGCGCTGGCTTTACGTCAGCGGCACAAATGCCACCTGAGACAGCAACTCCGGGTTTTATACAAAATAAACCCTCCTCCGGGTGGCTTCCAGTTTTACGTCCTTCTTATTGTG